GGGTCAACGTAGTAGAAGCCGTCAATGGCACCATTCTGACTCACGGTGCCAACAAAGCTACCGGGGCGTGAGCGAGAAGTAATGCATACGGCGGCCTGTTGCCTCGTCAGTGAAACGGCGCCCAGAGAAGCGACTGTCTTGGCAGGATCCATGTCGCGAAGAACGGCGCACAGGCGCGACATCATGCCACTTTCCAGCGGCATCAGAATGTCGGTCCGGGGATTGGGAAAAGTGTTACCAGAAAAGTACATGCTTCCCGTCGCCACCGCCATGCGTGCCATCTTTGTCAAAGTTAGGCTCCCGACGGACTCCTCCATGCTAGCGACCACCAACTCGTGCAGTGAGAAGAAAGCACTTTGTGAGCTGCTTTTCGATGTTGGAAACGCCAGCGCCATCGTAATGACGGCAACCACCACCAACAACACCACGAGGGGGCACAACACCCAGCAGCGGAGCGAGTAGGTGAGCGTGCGACGCCAGGGGGAGAGATGCGCCACCCGAAGAGGTGGGGAATCCGTGGGAGAGACGAGCCCACGAGCACGTGACACCGACGCCACACGGCCCGCAGGCATTCCATGCGCCTTGACGTTCCGCTCGGCGTTTTCAGGCTCAGCTGACACCTCCGCCTCATTGGCAACGGCGTTGTCGGACGGGCCCCACCCGTCAGGAACGACCGCAGGCGCCCTCCCACCCGGGCGGCCGCTATTAGGCCCCCCACCGCCGGTGCCAGCGTCGTCCGGGGGACCAGCCGCCCGCTCGGCCCCAAGGCGAGAGGACTCATTGGCGTGACCGATGGCCCCGAAGGAGGCACCCCATTGTGCGGGAGTGGACGGTCTTTCCCGCGTTGCCCCTCCCTCCGCCCCGTGTGGCCCGGGGACCTCGCCGCCTCCAGACCCTCCGTCTGCGCCAGCCTGTGCCAATGGCCCCTCACCCGTCCGGGGCTCGCAGGGCGACTGAACATCAGCACTGCTTCCCCCACGGCCACTGCCCCCGTGCGTGTTTCGCAGGGCCCCGGCAGCATGCAACAACGCATCTGGCGCTCTGGACTCCTGCTGCTTGTGGGATGAACTCTCAGTGGCCCTCCCTCTCCCCTCATGGTCTTGCCTCACGTGTCTGTCGGGCCCTGATGCTCGACGGCCCCTGTCGCCGGGCAGGGAGGCAGGGCTCCCCGGCAGTCCGTCGCCTTCAGTGACAGACATCGCAGTGCGCGGGACGGTGGTGCCGCCGCTGCCTGAGTGGTGTGGCTGCTCTACGAGGAATCGCGCTGCGGCGAATGAAGAAAGCGAGGAGGAGAGAGACTGTGAAGGCCACAGCACACAGCCAGTACAATCCGCAGACGCGAGCACTGACGATCGGGGAGGCTGACAAGGCTGCCCGCGTGTCCTCGGCGACCCAACAACAGCACCGTCACTGGCGCGGCAAGATGCCCGCCACGCGCCGTTGCACGCAGTGGGGGAAAAAAGAGAGGTGGCGTGCGGCGCCGCAAACCGCCAAGAGAAAAATACATGGCTGCGGTCAGTAGAGAGCATCCGTATACAGCGCAAAGAGAGGACAAAAAAAGAAGTATATTGCGGCACCCATGATGCCACCACGTCCAAAAATGACAATTCAGCAAAAGACAAGGCTACCAAATGAAGACATAGGTCCGAGAGAGCAGCACTGGCCCCAGAGAACTACGTAAAAAGGCAGCAAAACACGTCACCGATCCACTGCTACACCACCCCTCCTCTTCCCCAACGCGCAAAGCAAGTCAACTTTACATATTGCATGAAAACAGTACATCAGCGGCAGTGGAGCGCCGCTCTGGTGCAGGGGCAGAGAGACGCCTTCAGCACGGCCCGCAGCGCGTCGTCCACGTCTGCAGGGGGCGGCACCGGCTCCACCAGCCCATGGCGCAGCGCCTCGCGGAACGCCGCACTGTCGGCCAGCAGCGAGTCAAGTTCCTTCCGTGAGCGATCCAGCGCCGCAGTCGCACTCCACTGCCAGGGGTGGGAGTCCACCAGCATCGCAAGCAGCAGCAGCCCCAGCGCGTACATGTCGCTCGCTGCCGTCTTTGCTCCCCCGGCGGCCACCTCGGGGCTCACGTAGTACGACTCGTGGTGCACCATCAGCGGCGCGGCGCCCAGCAGCATGCCCTTCAGTCGGCACCGCCCCTCCACGCCAACCATCACGTTCTCAGGACACAGCCGCCCATGGACCAGCCCGCGCCCGTGAAGGTGCGCCAGGCCCCGCAGCATCGACGCGACGTTCCGCCGCACAGCAGTCAGCGGCAG